CACACCTGTGATGTCAGTGCTTTGGAGGACAATGAAAGAGGACTGCTTGAGGTCAGGAGTTCAAGACCAATCTGGGTAACATAGCAAGACTGCCTCCCTGCAAAAAGTTAGCCAGGTATGGTGGCACAGGCCTGTAGTCCCAGATACTCAGGAGGATCACTTGAGCCCAGGAGTCTGAAGCTGCAGTGATTTACACTCGAGCCACTGCAATCCAGCCTGGTGACAGAGCAAGGCCCCAGAGCTCCTAAGGAAAGATTCCAATTTCCAAGTAGTGACATATATGAAAAATAATAACATCTCAATCAACTAGGAGATCTTGACCCTGGGGTATAGTGCATGAGTGTGGGGGTTGAATGAGATTTATCCTTTGCCAATAAAGATTTTTTTTTTAATCAATTAACTCACTTCCTACGATGGAAGCTGATGACTGGGCACTCTTTCCCACCCTGTCTATACTATACGTTCAAAATTTCCCATCTCCATCATCCTAATATGGGTATTTCTCAAATTTATTAAATTGAATCTGCTTGTGGGCTCATAACATTATGCGGATGTGATTATTTCTTTTTAAAAGCTGAATCATGTGCATTATTGGTACCTCAATTTATTAAATCAGTCATTGATCTACAAGTTGTTTTTTCCCCCAATCTTTTGTTATTGTAATGAATATCCAATATTTGATCCAAGTTTGGAGCACACATAGGAGTGCTTCTGGAAAATAAATTCCTAGAAGTAAATTTGCTTTGATAGGTGTTGCCAGCTTGCCCTCTGACGAGGATGTATAGGCATTAACATCCTTACAAGATTGGAGAGTCCCCCCCCCCACACACACACACACACTGATCTTGACATGGTATATTAGCAAATGCTTTGACCTTTGCCAATCACATGAGTGACTGTTTTCTGTTTTAAGGGTTTGGCAAGCCTTACGGTGCTACTCATGTGCCCTGAGGATTGCACAGTCAAGAAAGGGGATAATGAAACTATTAGAAACTCAGGCCTAGGCCACTGTGTTTGAAAGAAAAAGGAGCTGAGGGTTTGAAAAGAGGAAAAAAAAATCTAAAGGCCACTGAGATGGGAAGGAAGTGTGTGGAAGAGGACAGACGCCCTGGAAAGAAGCTCATCTTCCAGGGTAAAGTTTCCAGTGATGACGAGATAACCATAGGGAGATAAAAAATAAATGGAAATGCCGAACTGGAAAGAAAGATCAGAATGAAGCACGCAAATGTGGAATGCCTGGAAACCTGCCAATGGAAAGGACGAAAGCCATAGATGTCAGGGTGGGAGATGCCAGCATCAGTGAAGGATGGAGGCGGTGAGCCAGCTAAGGAGCCGGAGGGGAGCCGAGCTGGAGGACAGAGCAGGAAGGAAGGAGCCGGAGCCCCAGGACTGAGTGGGAAGATAGAGGGGGAGGACTGAGTCACAATGAACCAGGAAAGCTTTGAGTCCAGGTTCCCCCAGGGAGACAAAGGGCTGGGACAGTGGTGTCAGATGACACCACAAGGAGGTCAGTGCTCAAAAGAAAGACCCAGATTGGACCCGCAGGTATTCAGCAGAAACCTTGGAATAGCAGTAGAGGAATGGCTGTGCTCAGGGGTTCTGTAGCTTTCATGATATAAATTCTTCACATATTCCTACTCATCGTGACTTGAAACTCATACCATACAGTAGGGTTTTTCAGCTTTGACCTTGAACCTATAGTTAAACTTCCACCGCACATTTAAATGATGAGAGTAAAAATAGAATATACTTACTATGCTTTGAACTTCTTTCAAAAATAATTTAATTAATAATCTTAAAAAAATTCTGCAACACACCTAAAACCCTCTCACAGCACACCAGTGTGCCAAGGCACACTAGTTGAAAACCACTGCCACATAATACACAGGACTACCAGCCTATATGCAGCATCTCTGGGGGCCACGAGTCCAGCTCCGAAGCCTCCTGCTGTGTGTCCTCATCCCGGTCTAGCAGAGTCTTTGGGGTCAGCAAGCTCAGGCCCTCTGCCAGTGACCAAGCTCTGACATGGAAATAACGGCTGTGTCTTCTCTCCCCAGTCTTCCCACACCTGGTGAGGGAGCTCAACGCAGGCCTGCACGTGACCATCCTGCTGCTCCTCTTCCTGGCCTTGGCCTTGGCTCTGGTCAGCATGGGTTTTGCCATTCTCAACATGGTCCAGGTCCCATACAGGGCAGTCAACGGCCCAGGGGGCATCTGCCTGTGGAATGTCCTAGCAGGTAAGAAGGCCCCTCGGGAAAGGCTGTGTCCACACTCTCACTGAGAAGGTTTGAAGGAGCTAAAATGCCTTCTTGCTCTTGACTTCCCTGGGTCTTCCTGTGGGCATGAATGGCCTCTTTCCTAGAAGTCGCAGAGTCTGTCACAGTAAAGAGCTACATTCTTAGGGCACATGAGCGGCTGATGACTTACAGCAGCAAAAGAAGGTCAGGGTGAGAGGAACAGGAGGAAGACAGAGCTGGGGGCAGGGACAGGTGGGGACCCTGGGGGGTAGGCTGCTGCAGCAGCTGAGAGTGGGAAGAACTCCTCTAAGCACAGAGGGAAGGGTGGTATGAGCCAGAGCTGTCTCTGTAGGATGCTGGGTCCAGGCTCCAGGCTGGGGGAATGAGCGCCTCCTACTGGCCAATCAATGTCTTTGAAGTCCCAGGACATAGTATCCAGTTACACACAGAGGACCCAGTGACTGACAGACAAGAGCTCTTCCTCCTCCTCCTCCTTCTCCTCCTTCCCTTCTCTCCAGATACTTCCACTTCTCCGAGATGCCACTTACAGATCACCCACCAAGGGCTCAGCACAGACCAGAATTTTGTATTCCTTCATTTACACCTCACCACCCCCGTAAGGACCCATGTTATAAACCCAGGTCA